CGGAGAGGTTTTTGCCATAGGGCACGTGCACTCACCAGACAGAGACAGAGAGACAGAAAGCGAGAAATCACTCCCCAGGAGGGATGACCACGCCGCAATCCTTTCTCCTCCATTCTCCTCTCGGGATCTTGGGCACACACGCACACGCACCTGGCATGAGTTTTAAGCCACCGGGTCCGGGACTCGAACCACGGTCGGCTACATGGAGTCCAGCGACATAGCCACTACACAAACTGCTGGTCCCCAGCCCACCCCATCTTCACCTGTGGCCCTGAAGTCCCCCCAGCCTTATGGGTCTGCCCAGGTGACAACTCTCCCGGGTAAATGTGGAGTTTTCACTTAGCCCAAAGAGGGATGGGAGCCCTGTCCTTTCACTGTCCTCTTAGGCATTTGAGGGACATCTAGCCAGGTCTGACACTGGGCAAGTGTGGGAAGGGACATGCACTGGGCTCCACTGGGATCAGGTGTGCCAGGCTGACCAGAGTCTGGGGTTCCCTTCCCCGTCCAGGGCAGCTTCCAACCCCCACGTGCCATGGGGACCCTGCACTGTGCCTGGCTGCCTCCCATCCCCTTATCTGCTAATGGCTCAGACAAGTTCAGGGCCCGGGGCAGAGACCAGCCTCAACTGGTTAAACTAATTAGGGAGAAGTCCTAGTCCACCTGCGGCTACGGGGCGGCCCTGGAACCCGTTCATGCCCCTGCCCATGGCAGGGGGGTGCACCCTGGAGGAGCACGGAGTCCAGGCCTCGCTCTCCTCTCCCGCCCTGACTCTCGGCATCCTGTACGAGGGATGCTCTGGTGTGGGCTCTCTGGGTCTGTCCCTGGTTATGGTGGGCACGAACTTGCTAAGGGCAGGTAGTGGCCTCGGCAGCTCTTATTTATTGAGACATTTTTGGTACAGGGCGCATGCGCTTGCTGGAGAAAGGCAGAAAGCAAGAAATCGTGGGGGCGGGGCGGGGCGGCCATGCTGCAATCCCTTCTCCTCTGTTCTCCTCTGGGGATCTTGGGCACGCACACACACGCACCTGGAGTGAGTTTAAGCCACCAGGTTCAGGACTCGAACCACGGTTGACTACGTGGGAGTCCAGCAACATAACCATTATGCTAACTGCTGGTCCCACCCCGCATGAGTTTTAAGCAGCCAGGTCCAGGATGCGAACCACAATCGACTACGTGAGAGTCCAGCGATGTAACCGTTATGCCATCTGCTGGTCCCTCGGAAGCTCTCTTTAGAGCCTCTGCTCCCGAACCATCCTGGCGTTCTGGACTCTGCAATACTCAAGCTTCAGTTCCCTGGAAACTAGATCGCGGCGTTTTGTGAAAACAGAGCAGGTCCGTGAAATCCTGGCCCAAGGTGGAAAAAGCAGCACATGGCACTGGGGGAGCACGGCCGGAGGGTGCTGTACGGGGCAGACGGGGGTCCCCCAACTTCCTGTCCACTCTGCAGCAGGAGCCCAGTCTGTGACCACGGCCACCACCGCAGGAGGATGGAGCAGGTCACAGCTCTGGAAGACGTCCCCTCACTACCGCAAGCTCACTAACAATGGGTTTCTTTATGATTTCCCTTCCAGGGCCAGCAGGTGGTGTGGTGGTGAAGGTACCGGACTCCCAAGTGGCTAACCATGGTTCAAGTCCTGAACCTGGCGACTTGAAAAATCACACCAGGTGTGTGTGTGCATGTGTGTGCGCCTAAAATCCTGAGAGAAACTTCCAATCTGAATGTTTCCAGCTTTCTCTCAACGCCTCAGATACGTGGCCAGTCACTCCGTCCATGTTCATGTTCCAGCATGCACCAAGGGGACTGCCCTGCTCCAGGACCCTTCTCCAAAGCCGTGTCATTGTCACCAGCCAGCCAGCCGACCACTGCAGTGTAGTACTGTGTGGTTCTTCCTGGAAGGTACTGATCGTACAGGGACGGCTCTAACTTCTATTTTATTATTTTTTAAAGTTTTCTTTGCCATAGAGTACATAGGCTTGCCAGAGAGACAGTGAGAGGGAAAGTGAGAAATCATCCCCCAGGGGATGACCACACTGCAATCCCTTCTCCTGGAATTTGGAACACACATGCACATGTGCCCAGCATGACGTCAAGCCACCAGGTCCAGGACCCGAACCGTGGTAGCCTATGTGAGAGTCCAGGGCCGTAACCACTACGCCACCTGCTGGCTCCCTCACTCCAACTTTAAACTCCTACTTAACACCTTTAAAGATGCCCAGGACCGTTTTCCATCTTTCAATGCAACTCTCTATAATTTCTTGGTAGATAACCTTCCAATAAAGCATGCTATGGAATTTCAAAATAATTTATGGTCCTGTTAAGAAAGATCAGCCTAAGGAACCTGCAGTTAGCGTAACGGCTATGTCGCTGGACTCCCACGTAGTCGACCGCGTTTCGCGTCGTGGACCCGGTGGCTTAAAACTCACGCTGGGCGCGTGTGCGTGCGTGCCCAAGATCCCGAGAGGAGAATGGAGGAGAAGGTGATTTCTCGCTCTCTGTCTCTCTGTCTCTGTCTGTCTGGTGAGCGCACACGCCCTATAGCGAAAAAAACCTCTCCAAAAAAAAAAAAGAAAGAAAGAAAGAAAGATCAGCCTAGGGCCAGCAGGTGGCGTGGTGGTTAAGGTGCTGGACTCCCACAGGGCTGACCACCGTTCGAGTCCCAGACCTGGAGGCTTGCTTTCCTACTTGCCCTTTCTCGCTCTCTGTTCAAATTAAACCAGTAATAATGGTGATAATAAATGAGATAATTCTTTAAAAGAGAGAGAGAGAGAGGTCAGCCTAGCAACTAAGGACTGAAAAAGAATGGAGGAAAACAAAAAGCCAGGGAGGGGACAGCTTCCTGGAAGCAGCGCTGAACTGGTTAACAAGACGCCGTGTCCCTGGACAGCACGTAATGAAGGTTTACCCATGCCCCTACACCCTTGTGAGGGCCAGCTGGGACATTCTTCATGTTCTTTTCTGTCCAGCTGATAGTTTTCATTTTTCTCCACAACCAAAAATTAGAGGGAGGAGATGCCGGTTACTCCCTGAACCCTCCCCTTCCCTCCCCTTCCCTCCTTCCTTGCCCTCCCCTCCTCTGCCCTAGGGAGCCCTGTCTGCTACTGGCCAAGAGTGGCTTGCAGCTAGCCTGTCCCGGAAGGAGGCAGAAAATCCTGAACAACCCAACACAGCTTAGCTTCTGCAAATGCAAACATCAGCACTCCTGTCAAGTCTTAAGATAACAGCATTATATTAAAATGAAACCAATTTCTTAAAAAAAAAAAAAGAATGAGAGAGAAAGGAGGGAGGAAAGGGAGAAGAGGTGCCGGGGTTGGCTTTAACAATGAGGTGATGAGCTCTGATTGCTGGCTCAACCAGGGCCCAGCGTTCTGGGCCCCAAGAAGGCACTAGGGACACCGGGCCTCCAGGCGGCAGGGGGAGGAGCAAGGTCGAGCGTCCACCAATCAGAGCACAGTGGAGCCCTGGGTGACAGATGGGGGCCCTGGGAAGCAGGTGTGCACAGAAGCTCTGAGGGCTAGCTGAAGGCGGTGTTGTGCTGCTGCGTCACCCGGATGAAGGTGGCCCTCCGGCTGAGCTCTTTGAGCTTGGCGGCTCCCACGTAGGTGCAGGTGGACCTCAGCCCCCCGAGAATATCCAGGATGGTGTTCTCCACGTCCCCTCTGTAAGGCACTTCCACGGTCTTGCCCTCGGAGGCCCTGCAAGACAAAGGGCGGTCCTGTCCATCAGCTCGTTGCTTTTCCTAGGAAGATCCTGGCTGCGGCATTCTGAACACCCCGCGGCACTCAGGCGGGCCCAGGGCACCAGCGCCACTTCTCCAGTGCCAGCTGACCCTCCGAGGGCCATGGCTGCCCTGCGCACTGTGGGCTTGTCTCCGTCAGCAACACCTCAGGGAGTCACAGCCCTCTGCCGGGGCTCTCCCAGCACTGCGCCCCCTTCTGCACCCACAGAAACCAGCTCTGCCTTTTTATTTATTTTTTTAAGAGAGACTTTTGCTAGAGGGCACGTGCACTTGATGGGAAGAGAGAGAGGCAGAGAAAATGAGAAATCACCCCCAGGGGGATGGCCACACTGCATCCCTTCTCCATTCTCCTCTCGGGATCTTGGGCACGCATGCACACGTGCTCAGCATGAATTTTAAGCCACCAGGTCTGGGACTTGAACTGCATTCGACTACACGGGAGTCCAGCAGCGTAGCCATTACACCAGCAGGTCCTTCTTTCATCTTTTTAATTTGCTAAAAGTACTTGCCAAAGAGACAGAGAGAGTGGAGAAGTGAGAATGCAGCCCCTTCCCCCATGGGCACTGACATGCTTTTATCTTTTCTCCATCTCGCCATCCTCTGGGGATGGGGCCACGCACACACGAACATGCAGCAGAGGTGTTTCTCAAGCCATCGAGCCACTGGGGCTGGGACTTGAACTGTGCTGTCAGCCATGGGGGATCCGGACACCTGAACCACCACGCAGCGGGCTGGCCTGCCAACTCTACCTTTCCATTCCACCTTAGCACCCACAGTGACCCCAGCTGACCAGAGCTGGTATGCCCACAGGGGTCAGGACAGGCTGCCCTCTGGCACAGCCCCCACCACCTCCTCTGCTTACCCTCCCAGATCAACAGAGCAGGCCCAGAGCTGTGATCTCCCACCCGGCAGTTCCACAGTCAGAAACTGAGTGTCCTCAGAGGGGACGGCCAGGAGAGGAGGATGTGAGCTGGGCAGCTCGGCCTCCTCCAGAGACTCCGACGGAGCCGGCCTGTGTGCCCAGCGCCCTCTGTGGGTGCACCTCCACAGTGGGCGGGCCTTCCTGTATTCTCCCAAGCACGTGCATACACACTAAAGTGACAAGCAGACCTGCCTCCCCCCTTCCCGTATGAGGCAGGAGGGCTGGGAGGCCTCGCCCGTGCCCGCGGAAGGGCTCCTCACCTGTACTCGGCAACTCCCCCCGCGTGCTTCTTCATGGCCGTGTCAGAGCTCATCCCGTAGAAGAGCTTGAGCTTCTGTCCGTTCCTCTCGATCACCTCCCCGGCACACTCGGTGTGGCCCGAAAACATCCCTCCCAGCATGACAAAATCGGCTCCAGCTCCTGGATGCCAAAGGGGGAGACAGAAGGCAGCAGCTGCACCGAGAGCTCGGGAAAATGGCTCTGGCAAGCACACGTGCCCTAAGACAAAAACCCTGCAACAACAATGACAGCAACAACCAACAATCTGCGCTCCACTGGGACAACGCTAGGCTTCAGGAGTGAGTAGACGCCATGCTGATCAGCAAGTGAAAACCTCGCCGGGCAGGTACGCAGGAGATGGGAGCTGCCTTTGTGGACCACGCTGGAACAGGGCCAGGGCTGGCCAGTGTCCGCCCCAGTGCGTGGCACATGGGAGATGCTTGACCACAGCTGTCAAGAAGTAAAAGGCGTATGTGGAAGAGAGACAAACACCTCCCATCCTGTTCCTGACTAAGTGTGCAAGGACTCTTCACTGGGTAGAGAGCAGTCCTTCCAAGGGTTTGCAGCTAGGGCAGATGAGGACAGCAGGGGGTTAACCAGGATGAGGAGGACCACAGCAAACCTCACTAGGAGGGGAAAATGCGGGCAGCCCTGAGAAGTGGCCCTCACTCATTCGAGTGAACTCGGGGGTCTCCACTAAACCCCCTCCTTTCTGTCCACCATCAGACAGGTGTGCTCGGCAGGGCAGGCCCCACGGTCTGGCACCGGGAAAGCCATGGTCTTCCTACATGGCAAGCTCTGCAGACCCTGCCTCAGGACCCTGCCACCACGCTGGGTCCTCAGTCCTCCTGCCCTGATTTTAAGAGCATAGGTAATAACTGGGGCCCGGCTAGGCCTCCTGATGACCACAGCCCCAGAGCAGAGACCCATACAAGGGCTGACAAGGAGCAGATGTCGGTGGAAGAAATACAGAGTACAGACCCACCTAAAGGATGCTTCGGGTGGTCCCAGCTGCTAATCAGCATCTTCCCTGGCATGGGCCCTCCCCCTCCAGTCTCTGCACACGGCACCTACTGGAAGGAGCATGGCCAGGCATCCCAAGGAAAGTGAGCTCAGCTTGCGTCCAGCCACCAGGACCCATGAACTACAAGGCTTCCTGGTCAACCACCAGTGGCTTCAAAGGGTGCCCCCATCCTACTATGTGCAGAGAACATGTGGAGGAATGAGAAGGGAGCCCAAGATGGAGGCGCAGGCAGCAGGGGCTCAGCTGTGCGATGCTGGGGCCAGATGGGAAGGTTCCAAGTTCATGTCCCAGGTCTACTGGAACATGCTGGGTGTCCCTGTGGTCCTGGCTAGCTGCAGGGCTGGGGGAGGAGTGTGGTGTGAAGACCCTGTCAGACACCTATCTGTCTCTCTTTCACAAGGAAGGAAGACTTAAAAAGTCATGATAAAAATGTCCTTGGCTGGTGTTCCTTATGAGGGGCAGTGAGTACGAGTGAGCAGGGGTCCTGCGTTTGCCCTGCCCTGCCCTACGTGACCTTGTCATGACCTCGAGGAACCTCAGTCCTCCCCACAGCCGGGACCTGTGGTTAGGGTGGGATCGCACCCCATTCTTTGGGCTTACGAAACCCTGCTGCTTCATACTCTTTGTTGCAATCAGTTTTCATTCTCTTAAACAAGTAAAATTCCTAAGACAGTGTTTTGCCACCTATACCACCCTCCCCCAATAGTAAATATGGCCCTAGCATCAGAAAAGGAGGGTTCTGGCCAGCCTCCTTCACTCCCTGGTCCTGCAGCCTGTCCTGGCTTTTGGACAGTCTGTGAAGGTGACCCGGCTCACAGCTGCGTTCTCGATGCTGGACTTCCCTGAGCTGCCCCAAGAAAATCCCAAGAGGCCTGCTGGAGGTCCTCCATGCCCGGGAGCCGGAGCTGGAGCCGAGCTCACAGCAGCTCTGCTGCCCCTAGTGGACACAGGCGCTGCGACTCCATCCTTCCAGGGCTTCCTCCAGCGCAGGCACTGTCCGCTCCGACTGGCCCCTGAGCCTTCTGTCCCCGTGATGCATGCGCTCCTGGCTTGCAGGGTGCCAGCTCCCCATGCGTCTCCTGGGCTGTCACAGGCCAGACCACCCAGATGCCAGGGTTCCAGCTAATTAGGGCTGAAGCCAAGAACGAGAAACTCCAAGGGGGCCCAGGATTTCCCGACAGGTCCCCCTCATTCCCGGAGTTGCATGGAGCTCCCGCCCTCCCGCCTTCCTCAGCACCAGGCCCGGCCTTACCAAAGGCTTTGGCGACATCTCCTGGACACGTGCAGCCTCCGTCCTTGAAAGAGGAAACAGCAAGGAGAGGTCCTCAGCGGAGTCTGGCCAGGCTGCCCCTCCCCACACCGGCCCAAAGCAGGCACGCTGCTCCGCACCCTAGGCCCTGCGGGTCTCACCTGGCCGGCCTCACCTTGTTCATGCTTCAAAGCTCTAACGTATTTATTAGGTCACTGGAAAAGTCATAACATGTTCTTCTATGCAAAAATGCATCATGACTTTCCCGACAACCCAATTTTTAAAATTATTCTAATTTATTTTATACACCCAATCATGGTACATCACTATAGCTTGTTAAAATGACCCAACACAATTATACTTCACCAACAGACAATCCTCCACTTCCGTGTCCCCTAAATGATTTCCCTCTCTATCTTCTCCTTGATTCCTTTCCTCTCACTCTCCCCCATCTTCCCTCCTCTTCCCGCACTATCTCCAGTGTCCATCACCATTCTCCCTGCTTCTGTATCCTCTAATCTTTCCGTTTCTGCCATAGAGTGCAGACGGTCCGTAGGTATTAAGTGGAGACATACAATGCCTCTCTTTCGTAGCCTGGCTCGCTTCACTCAGCAGTACCTCTGAGTATTCGTCCACTTTCTATCAAATGCCAGGGTCTTGTTTTTATGGCTGAGTAGAACTCCATAGAGTGCCTGTGCCACACTTTTTCAATCCATTCATCTGTTTGTGGACATTTGGGCACGTGGAAAAATGAGAAGGGAGTCCAACCCAATTTTTACCTTCTCTTTCAAGGAACAACCTCCATATGCCCTCCACTTGCCCTGCCAATTAATTTTAAAGTTCTTTATCTCTCTATCAACAATACTTCAGACAGATCACATAAACTCTTGTTCCCAATAAAGAAATCCCTACTCTAGATGACTTAATAACAGGACACCTGGGGGCGGTTCCTTGGCCTCTTGCTTAAAGGATCTGGATTCCACATGGCCAACTGTGGTTCGAATCATGGCCCCAGTAACTTGTAAAAGACATTGGGCACATGTGTGTGTGTGTGTGCCAAAAATGCCAGTGGAGAATGAGTGTGAATAGAAAAGGGGTCACATGACAAGATGAAAATCTGAGCTGTGAATGGTTGGCATGTCACATCTGCTCAAAGACACTTAGTCATGCCTAAAATAAAGACAGTGAGAACAAACATGGCGTAGGCAGAGAAAGGAGTCCAAATCGGGCACCTTCCATGAGCCAGAAACTGTTACAACCTCACTAGTCATTTTCCCATTCAAACCCCACAAGGACCTAAAGTGGATATTTTGTAGGTAGGGATTTTTAAATGGCTCAGGAAAGTTGAGTGACTCTCCTAAGGTCACACAGCTGTACCATGGAAGTGTAAGATGAGACCAGTGGTTAATTGAAGAGCAGCGCATTTCTGGTCATACAGCTGCTGCTTCCCTTATCTGAAATGCTTAGGACCAGAGTTTTGCATGTGAGATTTAAAAAAAAAAATTTGAAATGTATGCATATACATAATGGGGTATCTTTTCTTTCTTTTTTTATATAGACTTAAAAAATTAATTTTTCTAATAAATTGGAGAGGTTTTTGCTATAGGGCACATGTGCTGGCCAGAAAGACAGAGACAGAGAGACAGAAAGTGAGAAATCATCCCCCAGGGAGAATGGCCATGCCACAATCCCTTCTCCTCCATTCTCCTCTCAGGATCTTGGGCACGCAAGCACACATGCCCAGCCTGAGTTTAAGCCACTGGGTCCGGGACTCAAGCCATGGTCAACTACATGGGAATCCAATGACATAGCCATTACACCAAATGCTTGCTGGTCCCTATAATGAGGTATCTTGAGGATGGGACTCAAGTTTAAATATAAAATTTATTTATGTTTCATATATATTTTACACTCTTAGTCTAAAGGTAATTTTTTTTTTTGGAAGATGTTTGGTATAGGGCACATGCACTCACCAGAGAGACAGAGACAGTGAGAGGGACAGTGAGAAATCACCCTCTGGGGAGATGGCCATGCTGCAATCCCTTCTCCTCCATTCTCCTCCTGGGATCTTGGGCTTACATGAACATGGGCCTGGTGTGGGTTTCAAACTGTGGTTGGCCATGTGTGAGTTGAACAAGGTAGCTACTGCGCCATCTGCTGGCCGGAACGTACTTCTACACAGCATTTTTATATTGTAGCAGGTTAACCGCGATCCATGGCATGGAGTCAAGTGTGGAATTTTCCACTTGTGACATTACATCAACACTCGAGAAAGTTCCAGAGTTTGGAGCATTTCAGGTTTAGGATTTTCAGATTAAAGATGCTCACTTATTTTCTTTTTTATGTTTACTTTGCATCTTAAACTTTTCCTAGGCTCAACATATATTTTGTCAGGAAATTTTTCAAGTTGCAAAAACAGATGAAAAGACTCGAATGAATTTATGGAGCTCTTTCTAAATAATGGTGCAAAAAGAAAAAAAAAAAAAACTGGCCACACCTTAATCTTTGCCTACGCAGGGGCTGTCCTGAACTTTTCTACCTGCGAGGAATGAAAACATGACCAAAGACAGCCTCGGGAGTAAGAGCACCAGCTGAATGGACACCTCTCTGTGGCTCCCTCCCACACGGCAACCGCACAGAGGTGCTGACTCACCGGCTAAAGGGGGAAAGCAGACAGCTGGGATCCGGACAGCGAGCTGGGTCCAGAGCACCCGGTTCCCAGCAGGTTCGGGGCTACTGGCACGTGGCAGAATCCTGCTCGTGAAAACCCATTTGACAAAGGGACAGGGGCAATGGCTGCTTTGCACCCCAGGATACTCAGCTGCTGAAAAGGAATAAACTGAAGTCGAGGGTTCAAGTCCTTTGTAAGACTGAATTTCAGGGACCAGCAGGTTGCATGGTGGTTACGGTGCTAGACTCCCCCATGGCTGTTTATGGTTCAAGTCCTGGACCTGGAAACTTGAGAAATCATTCTGGGTGCATGGGTGTCCAAAATTGCAAGAGGAGAAGGGACTGCAGTGTGGCCATCCCCCCGGGGGGGGTGATTTCTTGCTTTTAGTCTCTCTTGTGAGCACACGTGCCCCATAGCAAAAATCTCAAAAAAAAAAAAAATTCATTACTCCATGGGCCAGCTCCAACAATTACACACTACACAGAGGGAGCCAGATCCCACATGGCTAACCATGGTTCGAATCCCAGCCCTCGCAGCTTGACAACATGCTGGGCACTCACGTGCACGTGCCCAGGATCCTAACAGGATGGAGAAAAGGAGGAGGAAGGATGGTGCATGACCAGGCCCTGCTGGGCGTACTCTTTCTCTAAGTAAGAAAAAGTATTCATTACTTCCAGTCTGTAACACATAACACACACACACACACACACACGCACACACACCTATGAACACAATCTGTAACACACAACACACACCTATGAACACAATCTGTAACACATAACACACACACACCTATGAACACTTGCACGGAAGCAGCTGCCATCACCCTACCACACCTTTCAGCCCCGACATGCCCTGCTGCTGTCAGCATCTCACCCACGACCGGTGCTCAGACAGGATGCCAGCACGGTCCACAGCCGTCTGAGCAGTGGCCATGATGAGAAAGCTGGAGTAGGCGTGAGGATAAACAGATGACAGATTTTGATGCGCTGCTGTTCACGCCCCTGTCCTTGACGACACCCAGCGGCTGGTGACCGGGCGCTGCTTTGCCCGGAGCTCTGTGAGAGCACTGCCCCTCCACACCTCCTCCTTCCTAGACACGTCTCCACCCAGAGACCTCACCTGTCCCAACGTGCCGCTGAGTGTACTCGCCCTGGTCACGGGAGACTTACCGAGATGATGTGGCCCTTGAGGCCGTGGGCGGAGTCTGCACACTCGATCACGGCGCTCAGCTGGGGGTAGCCCACCCCTGTCTTGGTCCGGGTGGTGCACACAGAACCTAGCAGGAAGGAAGAAGTGGGCCCCAAAGGATGGCGGTCACGCAGAGGCAGACGTGACACAAAGAGCCCCTCCACCTACCCCGTGACAGCGGCGTCACCTCTGCAGCTCACTTACCTTCACGCTGTCCAGGTACTGACCCATAAGCCAGCTGCCTCCCTGTGCTAGGGAAATAACAGCACAGCCCCCCTCTTCCACCTCTCCTTCCCCCCCAACCCTAGGTGCAGCAAGGCCAGATGGCCTGGGGCAAAATGGCTGGGCCCTGAGCCTGGCCCACATGAGCCTTGAGAAGGGGAAAGGGAGGAGCTGGCACTACCCAGACTCCTGCGGCCCCCATGACCCAGAGCCACTGCCCCTCCATGACCTCCAACCCATCTGCTCTGCCCCAGGGACCCATCCTAGACAGCTCCCCACCCCAGGCCAAGTAAATGCTCTGGACCAGGAATGTTTCGAATTTGGGATCTTTGGGTTATTCACACGTATGTGATGGGGTATCTCAGGGCTGGACTCACATCTACACACAAATTCACTTCTGTTTCATACCCACCTTATACACACAGCCTGAAGGCACTGTTAGACGGTTTTTTTTTTTTTTTTTTTTTTTAGGGGTTTTTCTTT